TTTTCGTATGGTTTTTATGGTTGTTTTCTCGTTTTTTTTGGTCTCATTTGATAGAATGGAATATTTATTACAGAAATAGACATGATTTTGATTGCTTTCACGACTGAAAAGTACCATGAAATTGAGCTCAAAGTAGCGAAAATGTTCGATTTTTGCCAATGTTCAGTGAACTTTGTAGAAGTCAAGTTGGTTAATTTTATTAAGTGTATTCTAACCTAACCACTCTGTAATCCGGTAAACTCAGCAATGCGGCACACTACAGGTTCCAATGATGCCGGATTTGTGATGGAGGACCTGTACTTTGGTGTTCTTATATACAGTGGACCCCCGTATACCGTTGGCATCACATAATGTTAAATCCGCATAGCGATACATTTTATCACTAAAATTTTGCCTCGCATAGCGCTAAAAAACTCGCTCAACACTATTCGTCCGAGACGCATCTATGTGAGGCCTGAGCCAGCCTCACATGTTCCGCCGGTGGCAATGTTTACAAGCCAGCCTCCGCGGTAACATCCAAGCATACAATCGGAGCATTTCGTATTATTACAGCGTTTTTGGTGATTTTATCTGCAAAATAAGTGACCATGGACCCCAAGAAAGCTTCTAGTGCCAACCCTGTGGTAAAAAGGGTGAGAAATATTATCAAAATACTGTGGTACCATGGTCAACTGCTGATGCTGCTGCTGCTGTAGCACCATCAGCTGCTGCTGCTGTAGCACCGTCAGCTGCTGCTGTACCAACGTCTGTGCTGCTGTACACCGTCAGCTGCTGCTGTAGCACCGTCGCTGCTGCTGTAGCACATCAGCTGCTGCTGTAGCACCGTCAGCTGCTGCTGCTGTAGCACTCGTCGCTGCTGCTGTACACGTCAGCTGCTGCTCTGTAGCACGTCAGCGTGCGCTGCTGTAGCACCGTCATGCTGCTGTACTACTCGCTGCTGCTGTAGCACTGTCAGCTGCTGCTGTAGCATCTGTAGCTGCTGTGCATCGCTGCTGTAGCACTGTCAGCTGCTGCTTGCTGTAGCACTGTCAGCTGCTGCTGGCTGCTGCTGTAGCACCGTCAGCTGCTGCTGCTGCTGACTGTCAGCTGCTGCTAGTACCGTCAGCTGTCGCTGTAGCCTGTCAGCTGCTGCTGTAGCACTGTCAGCTGCTGCTGTGCTGCTGCTGTAGCACTGTCAGCTGCTGCTGCTGCTGTACACTGTCAGCTGCCTGCTGCGCTGCTGCTGCACTGTCAGCTGCTGCTGCTGCTGTAGCACTGTCAGCTGCTGCTGCTGCACTGTAGCACTGTCAGCTGCTGCTGCTGCGCTGCTGCTGTAGCACTGTCAGCTGCTGCTGCATGCTGTAGCACTGTCAGCTGCTGCTGCTCTGCAGCTGCTGTAGCACTGTCAGCTGCTGCTGCTGCGCTGTAGCACTGTCAGCTGCTGCTGCTGCTGCTGTAGCACTGTCAGCTGCTGCTGCTGGCTGTAGCACTGTCAGCTGCTGCTGCTGCTAGCACTGTCAGCTGCTGCTGCTGTAGCACTGTCAGCTGCTGCTGCTGTAGCACTGTCAGCTGCTGCAGCTGTAGCACTGTCAGCTGCTGCCTGGCATGCAGCTGTAGCATGTGTCCCAGCTGGCTGCTGCTGCAGCTGTCAGCTACTGTCAGCTGCTGCTGCTGCAGCTGTAGCACTGTCAGCTGCTGCTGCTGCAGCTGTAGCACTGTCAGTCGCTGCTGGCTGAGCACTGTCAGCTGCTGCTGCTAGCACTGTCAGCTGCTGCTGCTGCTAGCACTGTGCTGCAGCTGACTGCTGCTGTAGCATCGTCAGCTGCGTGCTGCTGCTGTAGCACCGTCTGCTGCTGCTGTAGCATCGTCAGCTGCTGCTGTAGACACCATCTGCTGCTGCTGTAGCACCATCTGCTGCTGCTGTAGCACTGTCAGCTGTGCTGCTGTAGCACTGTCAGCTGCTGTAGCACATCAGCTGCTGCTGCTGTACACTGTCAGCTGCTGCTGCTAGTACACATCTACTGCTGCTGTAGCACTTCACTGCTGCTGCTGTAGCATGTCCACTGCTGCTGCTGCTGCTGTAGCACTGTCAGCTGCTGCATGCTACTGCTGCTGTAGCACTGTCAGCTGCTGCTGTAGCACTCAGCTGCTGCTGTAGCACGTCAGCTGCTGCTGTCCACTCGCTGCTGTTGCTGTACCACCATCATGCTGCTGCTGTACCACCATCAGCTGCTGCTGCTGTACCACCATCAGCTGCTGCTGCTGTACCACCATCAGCTGCTGCTGCTGTACCACCATCAGCTGCTGCTGCTGTTCACTCAGCTGCTGCTGCTGTACCACCATCAGCTGCTGCTGCTGTACCACCGTCGCTGCTGCTGCGCTGTAGACTGTCTGCTGCTGCTGTAGCACCGTCTGCTGCTGCTGTAGCACCGTCTGCTGCTGCTGTAGCACCGTCAGCTGCTGCGCTGCTGCTGCTGTAGCACCGTTGTTGGTGTGGCTTATTGAGAATACCAAGAAACAATTAACCCCAGAGGGTTAGCCACCCAGGATAACCCAAAAAAGTCAGTGTCATCGAAGACTGTCTAACTTACTTCCATTGGGGTCCTTAATCTCGTCTCCCAGGATGCAACCCACACCAGTCTACTAACACCCAGGAGAACAGGGAAAAATGCCTGGAACTAGTGCTCATATTGGTGAATTTAAAGCCAGCAAAGGTTGGTTTGAGAGATTTAAGAATCGTAGTGGCATACACAGTGTGATAAGGCCTGTTCTGGAAGAAAATGCCAAACAGGACCTACAGTACTCAGGAGGAAAAGGCACTCCCAGGACACAGTGTCTCATCATTCATTGCTGCATCTTCAATAAAGGTGTCATTTATTCTTCATTTAGTAGAGTAGTACATGCACAATATATATTGTGCATGTACTACTCTACTATTGTGCATGTATCCTCCTCTTTGTGTGTAGGAAAATTATTTCATGTGGTAAAATTTTTTTTTCATACTTTTGGGTGTCTTGCACGGATTAATTTGATTTCCATTATTTCTTATGGGGAAAATTCATTCGCAAAACGATAATTTTGCATAACAATGAGCTCTCAGGAACGCATTAATATCGTTATACGGGGGTCCACTGTACATGTATAATGTTTCTTGCCCTTGTAGTCTTAAGTCAGGCTTAAGCTTACCCAAAATATTCTTTATAATAATGGGTTTTCTGCATGTATTATCAAGTGTCAACCATTTCTGTACAATGTATCATGTGGAAATAAATTTTGAATTTGAATTTGAGTACAAGAAGAAGCTCGAGAGAAGGTTCATTCATTCATTAGAGGTTCGCCAGTACTTCCGGCCCGGGTAAGAAGGTACAGGAGAGCCCTGCTTATATAGCAGGTGAGGTTCTGGGATACTGCTGTAAAGCAAAACAGCCTTTTTTCACTTTCAAATGCATATAAAAGCCTGATAACATGTTTACACTATCAAATATTAAGTAAGCAATATAGCTAGGCCTAAAAACTGCATATAAAGTACACACACCTTTTCAACAAACCAGCCATATCCCACAGAGGTAGGGCAACTCAAAAAGAAAAAACGAAAGTTTCTCTTTAAATTTAGTAATGTATAATACACGAGAAGGGGTTACTAGCCCCTTGCCCCTGGCATTTTAGCCACCTCTTATGACACATGGCTTACAGAGGAAGAATTCTGTTCCACTTTGCCATGGAGACACATTACTTACCTTAAAATATTTTTGTCCTTAGCTTATAGTGAGTGGTGAATATATTCATTGTAGGAAGTCTGAGTAAATAATGGGTATAAATGAAAACCACTGTATTAGCAAAATGCTGCAAGGCAAAGCACTGTAAAGTGGGGCCTGCCTGTACCTGTTTGTTACCCCGAGTATCAAGGATTTGAGAGTTGTAATAAAGTTGGTAGAATTACCGACAATATGTAAAGTAAAAGGACACAAGTGCAACTAATGTGACATTTATTGTGGCAACGTTTCGCTCTCCAGGAGCTTTATCAAGCCTTTATCAATGGCTTGATAAAGCTCCTGGAGAGCGAAACGTTGCCACAATAAATGTCACATTAGTTGCACTTGTGTTGATTTGAGAGTTCTAACACACAGATTGAGGATACAATATCCAACACCAAAACGAGATTATCAATATTTTAAGTATTAAGTGTTTTTTGGTGGCAAGGTACAAGTGAATTATGACTTTAATGCTCCAAGTATAATTGATGGGCTTAAAACCTAATAACCATTAATGTTGGGCAACATTTCAGGGAAAACCATAGGCCAGACTTTAAATTTATTTTGTATTGAAAATCAATGTACAAAATACTGTGTACAGTAATGATAAAGCCTATACAATACACAGCATTTTGGGCAAGCTTACACTAGTATTAAGAATTCATCATTTGAGGCAAGTAAAACTATTACTGGGTGGTTTGATGCTAAACAGTGAATTAGCCTACTGATACTACCAGTAGTCATCCCACGCCATCAATCCATTGGCTGGTTTACCTTAGTCTACAGCTGCTAAATGCCAACAAGTATTTACAATTATTTATGATTATTTTTATTATTTATTCATTATTTTATACAAAATAGTTTACATAATTCATTATTGGGTTATACACAAAAACTGTGATTACTCTCTAGTATGGAAGCACTTCTCTAGGCTTAGGTTGAGGTCTATGAGCAACGTAACCTTCAGCTTCCAAGCCACTGGGTTAATTTTCAAGACTTGCGTATTTTTTTGGAAAAAAAAAAAAGCATCACAGCTGTAAAATATGGCAAGTCCTAAAACTCACAGGCCAGTGGAGGCCCATGCTAACCTACCCACCTAGTTGGACGAATCTTATTAAAGCCAACTGGCCCAGTGGTTAACACACTGGTCTGAGAGTTTTAAGATTCACTTGCCATGGGTGGAAACTCCCACCCATTCCCAGATTTATTATTATTGTTATTATTATTATTATTAATATAAAGCAAGAGATTGATGTTGGTTTAACTTACCTGTGACTTTTCTATAGTAGCAGAGTGTCTGTCACACATGGGTGAGATATCCATGCCTTGGTCTCTCTCACGGTCACCCTGCTGGAAGAACTCCTCCATGATGGATGACACCCAGTTTTTGTACAGTTCTAGAGGTTTGGTGGGATTACTGAGGTCGGCACAGTGAACCATGTTCTGTAGCACCTGCAACACATTCCACTCACAGATATTAACTAGTATCATTCACAATTATTAGTATCTGAAAAGTGCTCAGATACGTGGAATTTATATAGCACCTAGGGAAGGGAAAATAATCAGGTTTAATCCAAGGATAGAAAAACACAAATGCAATATAATATGATCCTTTATTGACAATGTTTCACCCATACAGTGACCTTTATCAAGTCACAAACAGATTTATCTGACTTGATAAAGTCCACTGTGTGGGCAAAACGTTGTCAAAAAAAAAGATCGCATTATACTGCATTTGTTTATTTTTCCTTCGTGTCAGTATTTTATAATGTTCATCTCCATTTAAACCAAGGAACTGAAATGTTGTTCAATTTCCTTGGCTAAAGATTCTTTCACTAGCATAAATCACTATCTATGGACAGTATTCATTGTGTATTACAGGAAATCTAGTTTATACATGGGCTAAATACAATAAATGAATAAATCATAAAATACAGTACTGTAGTTTTGTAATGTATATACTTTTAAATACTACAGTATGATGCCAATTCTTATTATTATTTGAAATGCTGAGAACATGACTTGTTCATAAGTTGAGGTCTCACTGTACAGTGCTGTCATGTGATGGTACTGTCACTGTACAGTGCTGTCATGTGATGGTACTGTCACTGTACAGTGTTGTCATGTGATGGTACTGTCACTGTACAGTGTTATGTGATGGTACTGTCACTGTACAGTGTTATGTGATGGTACTGTCACTGTACAGTGTTATGTGATGGTACTGTCACTGTACAGTGTTTATGTGATGGTACTGTCACTGTACAGTGTTATGTGATGGTACTGTCACTGTACAGTATGTCATGTGATGGTACTGTCACTGTACATGTTGTCATGTGGATGGTACTGACACTGTACAGTGTTGTCATGTGATGGTACTGTCACTGTACAGTGTTGTCATGTGATGGTACTGTCACTGTACAGTGTTGTCATGTGATGGTACTGTCACTGTACAGTGTTGTCATGTGATGGTACTGTCACTGTACAGTGTTGTCATGTGATGGTACTGTCACTGTACAGTGCTGTCATGTGATGGTACTGTCACTGTACAGTGCTGTCATGTGATGGTACTGTCACTGTACAGTGCTGTCATGTGATGGTACTGTCACTGTACAGTGCTGTCATGTGATGGTACTGTCACTGTACAGTGCTGTCATGTGATGGTACGTCACTGTACAGTGCTGTCATGTGATGGTACTGTCACTGTACATGCTGTCATGTGATGGTACTGTCACTGTACAGTGCTGTCATGTGATGGTACATGTCACTGTACAGTGTTGTCATGTGATGGTACTGTCACTGTACAGTGTTGTCATGTGATGGTACTGTCACTGTACAGTGTTGTCATGTGATGGTACTGTCACTGTACAGTGTTGTCATGTGATGGTACTGTCACTGTACAGTGTTGTCATGTGATGGTACTGTCACTGTACAGTGTCATGTGATGGTACTGTCACTGTACAGTGTTGTCATGTGATGGTACTGTCACTGTACAGTGCTGTCATGTGATGGTACTGTCACTGTACAGTGCTGTCATGTGATGGTACTGTCACTGTACAGTGTCATGTGATGGTACTGTCACTGTACAGTGTCATGTGATGGTACTGTCACTGTACAGTGTCATGTGATGGTACTGTCACTGTACAGTGTTGTCATGTGATGGTACTGTCACTGTACAGTGCTGTCATGTGATGGTACTCTCACTGTACAGTGTTGTCATGTGATGGTACTCTCACTGTACAGTGCTGTCATGTGATGGTACTGTCACTGTACAGTGTCATGTGATGGTACTGTCACTGTACAGTGTTGTCATGTGATGGTACTGTCACTGCACAGTGTTTTCATGTGATGGTACTGTCACTGCACAGTGTTGTCATGTGATGGTACTGTCACTGCACAGTGTTTTCATGTGATGGTACTCTCACTGCACAGTGTTGTCATGTGATGGTACTGTCACTGCACAGTGTTGGCATGTGATGGTACTGTCACTGCACAGTGTTGTCATGTGATGGTACTGTCACTGCACAGTGTTGTCATGTGATGGTACTGTCACTGCACAGTGTTGTCATGTGATGGTACTCTCACTGTACAGTGTTGTCATGTGATGGTACTCTCACTGCACAGTGCTGTCATGTGATGGTACTCTCACTGTACAGCGTTGTAATGTGATGGTACTCTCACTGGTCAGTGTTGCAGTGTGAAAGGAAAATCTGGCTAATGCTCAAATGCTCATGAGACTATCAGTTTAATTATGGCAGGCTGAGGCAGGTGGGTGTTCTAGTAAGTGACTAACAGAGCTAATACTTCTTGGTATATCAAACTGGTATAATGATAGTTACTGTAGTAGTCTGTAGTCTGAGAAGCCTGAGGTAGGATGGTGTGTTCCAGTAAACAACTACCGCCAGAGGTTAGACAGGTACATAATAGCGTTGGTACAACAATTATTACAGTAGTAGGTTGATTCAGAAGTTACAATAGCAGGTTGATTCAGAAGTTACAATAGCAGCTACAGTAAAAGATAGTCAAGATAAGGGTATGCCTGACAACAGATTTGTAAGAGCAGTAGTTACCCCTGCCCAAAGTGAAACAGTAGCAACAAAATGAGCATGTTAATACTGGGACCCAGTTGATAAACCATTTACAACAGCACAAGAAACAACTAAGCAAGATCACACAGTAACATTACCAGCATTAGGTTAGGCAAATATGCAGTAGAAGCTTGTGTGGAACCAGCAGCTGGGCACTGACCAGCACCAAAGATCTAATATGGAAAAATGTGCATCATTTAGGGACAGGGCACTACTAGACTATCAGCTATGTAGCACTCACCCATCAGTCTTGTAAGGAGCAACCTGAATCATAGTGTTCTCACCAGATGAAATCAATCATGCTTGGAATTGCAGGAAGGAACCAGTACACTGGAGGTGACATCAATGACACTGTTTTACAGGTGTACACAGTACACTTCAAACTGCTGGTGGAGTTTGAAACTAGTACACAGATGGCCACTATCTCACTATCCTGGAGGAGACCAACATGGTACACTTTAAACCGCAGGTGGGAGGCAGATGACTGGTGCATAGCTGGAGGAATCAAGAGTGGAGTCTGGTCTAACAAAGCACAGTATTCTACTGCTGCCAGACATCAATGGATGCTCTACAAAGAAGACGAGGCTTTCCTGGTTAAATTCAGGTTCAGGGGCAAGGGAGAAACTACAGCTGTTTGCTGTGGCTCTAGTTGGCATGGCACATCAGGACTATTCCAGCAATGATTCTGCGAGACCATTCATCAATGCCTGAACAGGTTTAGTAGTTCAAATCAGCCACTATACGTGAAACGTTAACCGAGGAACAGTACTGAAGTTTGAATCCTCAGTCCAGCCAGTTAGTCTAGGTTACTGATCAAAGTTTGATCAATTTCATGGGCAGAATGACTAGTTTTCAAAGCTTGAAGATGATTACTGACAGCAAATAGTAGTTCCTGTTGGACTTGTAATCAGACAGGCCACCTGAGAAGGATGTCAAAGGCTGGCCAAGGATTTTAGCTAGTCGGAACCTATGGAAGAGCCTCAGTCCACTAAAGGATTGCTATGATTATAAGCAGCTACAGTGGTTGTGAGGAGCTTCTGGATCATATCTAGGTGTAGATGTTCTCCTGCACAGTAACAAGTTTCAAGAGGATCAAGCCACTGAAGTCTTAAGTCAAACACATGCTTATGAGAGGTTCATGATTCATCTCCAGTAGGTAGGGATGTTATTCCCTGCAGTACTGTACCAAGTCTCAACATGGCAAGCAGTGGAGCGAGATATACCATTAACCAAGAGGAATGGATTACCGAGTGTAGATGGCGATTCCTGCCAATAATGTATGAAAAGTGCCAGAGAATTTCTTTTGATGCCTGAATGCTCACCAAGTCAGCAAGTATATTTTTAAAAGTAAGCAACTACTGAATGAGCATGAGATGTCAAGTCACCAGTGACACAAACCAGTACCTAGTTAGGACACACACACACACACACAAAAGGAAACAATGTAACAGTGTCATTGTTGTGTAGTCAGTTTGTCCTATAAACTGTTAAGTACCAGCTGAATTCTGGTCTATAAATACATCTCAGAAATTAGATATTCCTTATGGAACCCTAAGACAAATAAAGAACAGAAGCACTAAACATCTTAAATATCTGAAACATTTAGATAAACGAAGATGTCCCAGGTCTCAGCAATTCCCTAGTTCACATACTGAGGGGTCTGTGGTTCAATCCCCTGAATGGCTGTGAACACTGGACATGTTCCCTTGCACCTGCTGTCTGTTCACCTAGCAGTAAGTAGGGAAGAAGGGGTAATATACCTCCTAAAGGTACGATAACAACTCTTAGCACGTAAATGCAACCGATTAAAAAATAAGAAAAATTTGTTTGGATATAAAAGGAAGATGTTGAATACAGCTCTGTTGTTTCTTTAAACCAGACTGTTTACGCTGCTAAACCTGACCCAGCAACCTTCCAATGTAACAATATACGTATTGAGCACCTATGAGCCAACTATTCCAAAATGTTCCCACTGCTCTAAGTTATTCTTGAATGTCAATAAAACCAAAATGTTTGGGTAAATCTATACACCTAAAAGTAAATGTATAAATGTTGATAAAATGCAAGAAACATAAATCAAACATACAAAACAGAATACTAGTGTGTCACAGAATAAATTTGTTAATGTTGAGAGATCTTCACTGCTATGTTAATGTTGAGATATTCACTGCTAAGTTAATGTTAATGTTAAGACCCTCAAAGGTAAAGCAAAAGTATAATAATATCAGGCAAATTTGACCAATAATCAAAAAGCACACTCAGGAGTTAGAACATAAATTGTTTCCTCTACGGTTTACAGATGCTGCTTCATTTTGGTAAACATTTCACTCATGAGTGGAGATTTATCAAGTCAGCAGTAAGCTTCATTAAGCTCACTCCAGAGAGAAACATGGCCTCGACGGAAATGTACGCTCATGACACCTTTACTGAAGACATTTTGGTGGTGGGAACTTTGAAATGATCAAGGTACAAGGACCAAACTAGCTTCAGTAAAGGCATCTGAAGTGAATGCATTCATGTCAGTCTCCCTTGAGCTGCACTTCTACTACGGAAACATGGACTAAAATAATGGCTTCTGTATTGTGTATCATTATATTCCCTGTCAACCTCAGTCACATTATGTCATTACATTCACTTGTAGGTTTGCTGCCCCTAGTCACCATACTGTTCAACAGCTGAAGATAATTTCTTGTTCCTAAATCAAGAGCCAGACTGCAGGCCTTAGCATTCTTAACTAACCTTATTAAATGATTGTTTTTAGTTATGAATCTATTTCAAAACTGCCTAAATCCTCTACATAACCAGGGGATTTATGTTGATACATGTTAATTTATACTACATTAATGGTATACTGCACTTTATTATTATTGTCACTTGTATGGGCCACTGGACCTGCAGCAGTGTTCCTCCATTATGTTCATATTTAGTGGCAACCAGCCTTAATATTACCTGTATTCTGTCGGTGTAGTTATCGAGGAGAAGAACACCGGAGCCAGCCACTTTCTTAGTTTCCACCATAGTCTTAAGATCTGCAAGGAGGCTCATGTGTTTGCTCATGTCAGTAGCCAACACCATGTCAATTACCATCTTGCGTAGTGTCTGTCTCTGTTTTTTACTCAGGTTAGCGAAGATATCACAATCCTCATTCTGCAGCAGCTTGAAGGCTACAGCCAGGTGGTGGTTCTCTAGCACTGACTCGTCGTTATACATGAGAGCCAGCTCTGAGGAGGAGTTGATCAGGTACTGGTTGGTGAGACCTGGGTGATCCACGTCATGGATAGCAGCAGCGAAGATGGCAGCCAGGATCTCCAGGTTGGTGAACACTGACTGTGGAAGGCAGACATGTATCTCAATACTTATACTTCACTAGTAGCAGTGTTGTATGATCTACAGTGTTGTATGACAACTATTATTCTTCATAAACACACTGGCTGTCTCCCACCAAAGAAGGTGACCCACAAAAGAGGAAATATGTACATTCATCATCATTCACTCGATTGCATTAATTTTTCACAGGAACAAAAATACAGTGGACCCCCGGTTAACGATTTTAATCCGTGCAAGAGGGCTCATCGTTATGCGAAATAATCGTTATGCGAATGAATTTTCCCCCATAAGAAATAATGGAAATAAAATTAATCCGTGCAAGACGCCCAAAAGTATGAAAAAAATTTTTTTTTACCACATGAAATGTTAATTTTAATACACACAAACTGAAAAAGGCATGCACAATTACATGACACTTACTTTTATTGAAGATCTGGTGATGATTGATGGGATGGGAGAGGAGGAGAGCATTATCTTCTTACTGTTTAGAAGGGAAATCCCCTTCCATTAGGACTTGAGGTACAAGTCCTTTTCTGGGGTTACTTCCCTTCTTCTTTTAATGCCACTAGGACCAGCTTGAGAGTAAACGGGACCTCTGTCGCACAACAAATCTGTCCATAGAGCTCTGTACCTCCCGTTCCTTCAAGACTTTCCTAAAATGGGCCATAACATTGTCATTAAAATAGTCCACAAGCACGGCTTGCAACAGCTGTGTCAGGGTGATTTTCATCTATAAAGGTTTGCAGTTCAACCCACTCTGCACACATTTCCTTAATCTTTGAAGTAGGCACAATGGATTCCACAACTGGCATAGGCTTCTCAGGGTTAGCCCCAAAACCCCTTCAAAATCTTTCTTAATTTCCATACTAATTCTCACCCTTTTTACCACAGGGTTGGCACTAGAAGCTTTCTTGGGGCCCATGGTCACTTATTTTCCAGAAACAGCACCGAAAACACTGTAATAATACGAAATATTCCGAGTGTATGCTTGGATGTTACCGCGGAGGCTGGCTGGTAAACAATGGGACGGAGCGGCACATGTGAGGCTGGCTGAGGGCACATTGGACGCGTCTCGGACGAAAATCGGTATGCGGGTTTTTAATCGGTATGCGCGGCAAAAATTTTGCGATAAAAGTAATCGTTATGCGGAAAAATCGCTATGCGATGCCATCGTTATGCGGGGGTCCACTGTAATACAATTATTAGCAATAATGATAGCTACATGGAGGCAATAAAGCTTACATGTCAATAAGACGCACAAGACAATTTTATGAAACAATGAGGACACATGTCTTTTATTGACATGTGTATGAGGGAAAGGTGTCAGTAAGGTTTCCTAACAAAGAACAAGGGTATTAGTACTAACATCAAGAACTAGGGTACTAGTACTGACCTCAAGTGCTGGAGAGTTAAGGAGGACGTGTGTGGACTGTGTGACATCAGCAGCGTGCAGAGAGTTGTGATAGGGCACATCCTTCAAATAATGGTCCTCCAGTGTCATCATAAATGCTACAAATGTTTTGGGCGGAATTTTGAATGTCTTCAACAGGTCACGTTCCTGTTCAGAGAGGAAAAAAGGTTAACCAGGTTCGATACACAAGTTTAGATCTGTGCAAGTTTGCTGTACAGTAGTAATGAATGACTGTCAAACAAAAGAATGGATGTGACTGGGAAACACAGTAATGGTATGTTCAACTTGGAGTTGCTGCATACCAAGGCCACGGTTCGAGTCCTTGCCCAATCTATTTATTCAGAGAAACAAATTATCAGGATAACCCAATGAGTCAATGGGAATTTTTGATGTCAATAAATATGATAAACTCTCCTAAAAAATGACATACAGTTTATTAAAGAATGTAAATTGTATTGTACAAGGTGGAAATATTAGGCACTTTAATAATGTAAAACAGTGAAGGTCTCTATAACTTTATGACTGATTCTTATAGGTAAATAAAGAGCTAGAGCCAAACCTTGTTAAAGCAAATGTTGTCACTTTTACTGATGTATTAAGAACTTAGTATACTGAGTCATAACTTAGAAGTTATTTAAGAACATTAATAATTAAAACTTGGTAAGAGTCACTACTTAGAATAAACTTGCAGTAAGTAAACAAACAATACAGATCATGTCTTTCATCTCAACGCCTCACCCCCCCTGGTGGGCGAAACGTCTTCCCAATGAAGTATACGAGGCACTTACCATAAAATTTTGTATGTTATAGCAGTGAGAGGCTTCCTATTAGACAGTTCAGATTTTCCTGTAGATGTCAATGCCCCATTTATCAATGTCCTCAAAATCTGAAACACACAGAAAGTAGGTCAGTTATTGGAAATACCCAATAATAAACATGGAGAAACTCAAAAGACTTTAATCTGTGTGTATATAAAAGCCCTTCTGGGGTCCTCTTCAGTAAAATAAGAGGGTCCTAGAAAGGGATTGAAATATACAGATCCATCAATCTTGCGTTCTGTCTCCATGTGGGTTATTAAAAGAGCACTGACAAACATTGAATGGTTTTTCCCAGGCCTTTTGTGTTGCAATCAACACATCAGGGGCATGCAATGTTGCAGAAGAGTGGTGGTGGTCTAAGCAAATATGATCATATTTGCTTGGACTTTTTCCTCTTTCTGCAACATTGCAAGTTCCGATGTGTTGACTGCAACACAAAAGACCTAAAGCTATCATTCAACTCCCCCTCGTGGTTATTTTGCATCTTGTATTAAATTGTTCATGATTTCTACAGATGTGTGTGTGTGGTGTGTAAACTCACCTAATTGTGGTTGCAGGGGGCAAGACTCGGCTCCTGGGCCCCGCCTCTTCCCTGATGCTACTAGGCCTCTCTCTCCCTGCTCCATGAGCTTTATCATACCTCATCTTAAAACTATGTATGGTTCCTGTTCCACTACTTCACTGCTAGGCTATTCCACTTCCTGACTACTCTATGACGAAAAATACTTCCTAACATCCCTCGACTCATCTGGGTCTTCAACTTCCAATTGTGACCTCTTGTTTCTGTGTCCCCTCTCTGGGAAAATCCTGTCCTCTGTCCACCTTGTCTATTCCATGCAGTATTTTGTATTCGTTATCATGTCTCCCCCTAACCCTCCTGTCCTCCAGTGTCGTCAGGCTAATTTCCCTTAACCTTTCTTCATAGGGCAATCCCTTAGATCTGGAATAACCTTGTCACAAACTTTTGCACTTTCCCCTAATTTCTTGAGTGCTTGATCAAAATGTGGATTCCAAACAGGTGCTGCATACTCCAGTATGGGCCTGACATACACGGTGTACAGTGTCTTGAAGATTCCTTACTAAGGTATTGGACCCTGTTCTTAGGGTTTTCCAGGCGCCATGGCTACAGCAGTTATCTGGTTGATGTTTTCTTCGGAGAAATGCTCGGGGTTTATGCCACCCCAAATCTTTCTCCTTGAGCGAGCTTTGCAGTCTTTGGCCACCTAGCCTATACTCCGTCTGTGATCTTCTTTTCCCTTCCCTGATCTCATGAAATTTGCATTTGGCGGGGTTAAATTCGAGAAGCCAAATTGCTGGACCAGGTGTCCAGCCTGTTCAGGTCTCTTTAGAAGTCCTGCCTGGTCCCATCTGATTTAAATTCTCCTCATTAACTTCACATCATCTGCAAACAGGACACTTCCGAGTTTAAAAACCTTTCCATCATGTCATTCACATAACCAAAAATAGTACTAGTCTTAGGACCGACCCTGTTTGGACCCTGCTCGTCACAGGTGCCCACCGTGATACCTCATCACGTACCATGACTCGTTGCCTCCCTATCAGGTATTCTCTGATCCATTGCAGTGCCCTTCCTGTTATATGTGCCTGATCCTCTAGCTTCTGCACTAATCTCTTGTGAGGAACTGTGTTGAAGGCCTTCTTGCAGTCCAAGAAGATGTAATCAACCCACCCCTCTCTCTCATGTCTTAAGTTACTTTATCATAAATCTCCAGGTCTGTGACACAGGATTTGCCTTCCATAAATCCGGGCTGGTTGGCATTTATACTCTTCTTCCGTTCCAGGTGCTCCACCACTCTCCTCCTGATAATCTTCTCCAGGACTTTGCATAATATACACGTCAGCAACACTGGTCTATGGTTTAGTGCCTCTTTTCTGTCTCCTTTTTAAAAATGGGAACTACATTGTCATCTTCCATATCTCAGGTAGGTGCCCAGTTTCAAGGGATGTGTTGAAGATTGTGGTTAGTGGCACACACAGCATTTCTGCTCCCTCTCTAAGGACCCATGGGGAGATGTTGTCCAGTCCCATTGCCTTTGAGGTATCAAGGTCCTTTAGCAGCTTCTTCACCTCCCCCTCAGTCAGTTGTATGTATGTCATCCATCACTTGTCGGTGTCCCCCTCTGTTCTGTCCTCCCAGAGGCCTTCCTGTCTCCACTGTAAATACTTCCTTAAATCTCACGTTAAGCTCCTCACATATCTCTTGATCGTTTGTGAGCTCCCCCCCCTCTTTCCTCAGCCTGATTACCTGGTCTTTGACTGTTGTATAGCCACATCAGGAGGAAGACAACAGTTTCAGGTCAGACTCGACTTTCGATTCTATGTTGTTTCCATACTGTCGCTGAGCCTTTCTCCTTGCCTGTGCATACTCGTTTCTGGCTCTTCAACTAATCTCCTTATTTTCCTGTGTTCTTTGCCTTCTGTACTTTTTTCATTCTCTAGTGCACTTAGTTTTTGCCTCCCTACACCTTCGGGTAAACCAGAGGCTCATTCTGGTCTTCCCATTATTTCTATTGCCCTTGGGAACAAACCTTTCCTCTGCCTCCTTGCATTTTCTTGTTACATATTCCATCATTTCATTTACTTTCTTACCAGTTCTCTGTCCCACTGAGCCTCCTGCAGGAAGTTCCTCAAACCTGTTTAGTTCCCCCTTTTATAGTCTGACTTTTCCCATTCAACTCCTGTTACCCTCTCCACTTGTAACTCTACTATGTATTCAAAGCACAGAACCACGTGATCACTAGTTAATAGGGGCCTCTCGTATGTTATGCCTCAATGTTCCACCTTTTAAAAAAAAACTGCTCAGGGTGAACACAAGGTCCAGTCTTGCTGGTTCATCCTTCCCTCTCTTGTAGTGTCCTTCACATGATGCATGAGGTTTTCCAATACTATATCTATCATCTTGGCTCTCCATGTTTCGGGACCCCCATGTGGCTCCAGGTTTTCCCAAGTGATCTCCCTGTGTTTGAACATTGCCATAACCACCATAACTTTGCTTCTGTTCGAGTGACCTTCTTGCCACTTCACCAGTGTCACCATTGCTCTGTTGCTCTCTTCATATTCCTCTCTTGACCTCCTGCAGTTCTGTGGTGGATTATACATCACTGCAATGACTACCTTATTTTCCCCAGACTGAAGTGTACCTACTATATAGCCCCTTTCTCCACTCTTGTCCATGCCTCCCATTTCCACAAATTCCATCGGTTTTTATCGAGCAGTGCAACCCCTCCTTCCTCTGCTCCTTCTATCTTTCCTCAGGGTGTATGTAAATGTATATATGTGTGTGTACTATCGCCTAGTGTACTCCACCTAGTTGAGTGCAGGGGTAGAGTCCTAGCTCCTGGCCCCACCTCTTCACTGGTCGCTACTAGGCCACTCTCCCTGCTTAAAGCTATGTACGGATCCTGCCTCCACTACATTGCTTCCCAAACTATTCCACTTTCTGACTACTCTGACTGAAGAAATACTTCCTACCATCCTTGTGATTCATCTGTGTCTTCAGCTTCCAACTGTGTCCCCTTGTTGCTGTGTCCCATCTCTGGAAACATTCTGTCTTTGTCCACCTTGTCAAATCCTCACAGTATTTTCGTATGTTTGTTATCAGTTCCCCCTTATTCTCTTCCTGTCCTCAGTGTCGTCAGGCGATTTCCTTAAACCTCTCCTCGTAGACATACCCTTAGCTCTGGGACTAGACTTGTTACAAACCTTTTGCACTTTGCTTCATAATTCTGTAACGTCGTGCAAGGTGTGGTTCCAAAAACTGGTGCCGCATACTCCAATATGGGGCCTAACGAGACACGTGTAACAGGGTCCTGAAAGGATTCCTTATAAGATGTCGGAAATGCTGCCTCTGAGGTTTGCTAGGCGCTCCATCAAGCTACAAGCAGTTATTTGGTTGAGATGTGCGCTTCATGAGATGTGCCCTGGTGTTATACTCACCCCAAGATCTTTTTCCTTGAGTGAGTTTGTTAGCCTCTGGCCCCTTAGACTGTACTGTCTGTGGTCTTCTTTGCCCGTCCCCAATCATCAACAAGACTAGTAGCACTTGGTGGGGTTGAACTCCATGAGCCAAATGCTGGACCAGGTCTGCATGCCTGTTGCAGTGTGTGTGTTGGTGTGGTGTGTGTTGTGTTGTGTGTGTTACTCCACCTATTTTGTATCTCACCTATTTGTGTTTTCAGTCGAGTCCTAGCTCCTGCCCCGCCTCTTCACCAGGTTTTGCCTACTAGACCCTCTCTCTCTCCCGCTTCCATGATCTTTAATCAAACTCGTCTTAAAACTGATGTATGGTTCCTGCTCCACACGGTCATTTCTAGGCTATTTCCACTGCCTACAACTC